GTATGTACCCTTGACTGGAATCGAACCCATGACTCTTTGGTCTGTGGGCTCACACTCTAACTGCTAAGCCAAACCAACCAGGGATTGGAGTATTTAGGCCATTTACATTTAAAGTGTTTAATGACAGGTACATATTTATTGCCATTTTATTCTTTATAATTATGTTCCCTTTTTTGTTGTTGTTGTTGTTGTTGTTGTTGTTAATCCTCACCTGAGGATATTTTTCCATTTATTTTTCCTAGATAGACTGGGAAGAAGGGAGGGAGAGAGAAAGAGAAACATCAATGTGAGAGAAACACATCAATAGGTTGCCTCTTGTACAACCCTGGCCAGGGCCAGGGATTGAACCCACAACTCAGGCACATGCTCTTGACCAAGTATCAAACCCATGACCCTTCAGTCCATAGGCCAACACTTTCACTGCTGAGCCAAACTAGCCAGGGCATCTTCCTGTTTTTAAATTTTTTTCTTCTTCTTAAAGAAAGCCCTTTAACATTTCTTGTAATACTGTTTTTTTTTTTTTTTTTTTTTTTTTTGTGGTAATAAACTCGTTTACCTTTTTCTTGTCTGGAAAGCTCTTTATTTTTTTCTTCAATTTTAAATAATAGCCATGCTGAGTAAAGTAGTCTTGGTTGTAGGTCCTTGCTTTTCATCACTCTGAATATTTCATGTCAGTCACTCTGGCCTGAAATGTTTCTGTTGAGAAATCAGCTGAAGCCTTATGTGAGCTTCCTTGTAGGTAACTGTCTTTCTCTTGCTGCTCTCTTTGTCTTTAACCTTTGCCAATTCAATTATAATGTGTCTTTCTGTGGGCTTCCTTGAGTTCATCTTGTTTGGTAGTCTGTGCTTCCTGGACTTGGTGTTTTATTCCTTCACCAGGTTAAGGAAGTTTTCAGTCATTATTTCTTCAAATAGGTTCTCGATCCCTTGCTCTCTCTCTTCTCCTTCTGGTACCCCTGTGATATAACTGTTATGCTTCATGCTGCCCCAAATGTCATTTAAACTATACCCATTTTTTAAAATAGTTTTTTCCTTTTGTTGTTCTGATAGGGTGTTTTCTGCTACCTTGTCTTTCAAGTCACTGATTTGATACTCTGCTTCATTCAATCTACTGTTTATTCCTCCTGGTGTCTTCTTAATTTCAGATACTCTCTTCTTCATTTCTGACAGGATCTTTGTTATGGTTTCTGTTCTTTTTCATGCTGTTGAAGTCCTCACTAAGTTATTGAAGTTTTCACTAAGTTACTTGAGAATCCCTATAACCATTTTTTAAACATTGTGTATCTGGTAAATTGCTTATCTCCATTTCTTTTACATCTTTTTCTGGACACGTCTCTTGTTCTTTCATTTGGGGCATGTTTCTTTATCTCCCCATCTTGGCTGCCTCTTTGGGTTTGTTTATATGTATTGGGTAGACATGCCATGTATACCAGTCTTAGTAGGGTGGCTTTATGTAATATGTCTTCTGTGGGAACCAGTGGTGTAGTCTCCTTGATCACCTGAACTGTGTGCTCCAGAAATGTCCATTGTCTGGTTGTATGAGTCCTCCTGCCATTGGCCTGTTCATGCGTGGGATCAACCCTCAGGCTGGCTGGCTGAGGACTGACCCCAACCAGTGTATTAACTGCTGTGCTGGTGCTGACCACACAAAGCAGAACTCATCTCAGCAGGGTCTGGTGTCTGCTGAGATCTCTTTGGATATGCTGCTTGTGAACCTAGCTAATTGGATCCTGCCCTGATGTTTTCCGAAGCTGGCCACTGGGTGTATTGGGTTCTGGGGCCTCTGAGGACTATGGTACAGGTTAATGTCAGACACTGCCTATGACTGGCTCTGAGCAAACTGTTTGGAGTTACAAATCAACCCAGTTTGTAGCTGACTCTGCTGGGCCTGGGTTTGCATGGGAAGGACCAAGCTGTACACCGAGCCTGATTTCCACCAGTGAGCTCAGTGGCAGGTCAGCAAAAGGCCCGTCACCCTGAGATCTGCCTCTATATGCTGGTTGCCTATTAAGCTCAGTCACTGAGTATTAAGTTATATAGGTAGGTTCTCAGTAGGTCACCAGGTAGGGCCTAGTGGTAGTCACCAGATTGATACAGGTTAAAACTCGGTGTCAGTGCTGGGTCTGAGACCACTCAGCAAAAACCCCAAAGTATAACAAGCTTATCTGCCACCTGTTAGGTACTTGCAGACATTTGTGGTGGGGTGGAGATCTTGGGGAGTTGTTCAACTGAGGCCAGCAGTTTATCAGGCCCAAATAGACCATGATTTGGCCATGTGAAACAGGGCTCTGCACAAGTGTGCAAGGGAAAAACTCTCACCCTAGAGCCACACAACTCTGTCCCAAATTCTGCCAGGAGCCCCTGTTCTACAGGGCAGGACCACTGGGAATTATTGGGAGGGGCTAGTGGATTTCCTGTGAGCAGAAGGCACTGGTCAGTGTTTGGGGAAGGTGAGAGAAATGACCCCACCCCAGAACAACACAAACCAGTTTTTTTTTTACTTCTTTCTGGATTCTGCCCAGATCTCCTGGGAAGCCCAGTTGGCAGTGCAGGGCCAGCCACCAGGAGTCAGGAGGGTAGGGCCCCTGGGAGCCCAGAACTTAGGGCTTGCAGATCTCATGAGGGGAAGGTGCCAGTTAGGTTCATGGAAAATAGGGGAGGGGTGGCTCTCATCTCCAAAGCCACACATATCAGTCCCTGAATGTCCCAAACCTTTAAACCCTGGCCAAAGTAGCTGACTCCTCAGCAGGGCATGAACTCTTCAGGTTAAGGTAAAAGGCAGTCCAGAGGGTGGGGCTATTACATTCCCCTAGGCTGATGATGCTCTTAGGAGGGGAATGCCCCATCCAAGGAAGATGGGGGTCCATGGTGTTGGAGAGGGACTCAGCACAGGAATCCTGGTGGTTGGCCCTTCAGCTCTCTCACCAGTGCCACACACCCCAGTCTCTCCTCACAGGACATTAGTTGGCTCTGCCCTCCCTTTGCCAGAGTCTAGAATAAATGGCTGCATACAAGATTTTGTGTGCTGAACCTTTGAGTCAGTAGACTCCTGACTCTTCCTGGCAGACAGAATTCCTGCTAATTTTCACATCCTGTTATGTGAGTGCCTCTTCCCAGTTCTAGTGCTCTAGGCTGGGGAACTCCTCAGGGGGAACCTTTGCAGCTGAGCTATACCTCTATAATCTCAGTCACTGCCTGTGGGAGCAGGGCCAACCCTTTTCTCATTTCTGCCTTTTGTACCAGTCTTGATGTGGCTTCCTCTGTAAATCCTTGCTTATAAGACTTATGTTCAGCTAGTCTTCAGTTGGTTATTCAGGATGACAGTTTTACATTTCAGTTGTAACTCCAGTTTGGCCCTGGGAAGTAAATGTACCCTCCACCTATTTTGCTGCCATCTTCCCACCTATGGTCGTTACCCTGTCCCCTCCAGTTCCCGAGACCTGCCATACATCTCCAACGTCTTTTTCTCTGTTCTTTCTCTACCTAAAAACTTGTTTGCATTTTTCCTTGACCTTAAAATAAGGGTCCTCTTTGGTCCTTTGAGTTGCCATCCCATCCTCTGGTTTACTGTAAAAGTAAAGTTTATAGCCTCTCCCTTCAGTCATTTCCTAAAATCCCTGGAGCTCTAATTAGCATTGTTTCTTTTGTCTCTGTAGTCCACTAACAAGACCCTTATAAAATTCAACTCTAGTTTTCTCAAATCTGTCTTTTGTTCAGTCTTCACTTTGATGTTTCAATAATTAAAAAAAAATTCTTTCTGAAATTATTCTCTTTGCTTTGGCAAGTTGTTCCTGGTTGCCCACCTTCTCTAATTATTTTGGTTTTTCTTTCTTGACTTGTCCTCTTAGGTAAATGTTCCTCATAGCATTTTGAACTTTTCTGGCATTTATCAAATGCCACTCCATGCTTAAGTCACTTCTATAATATAGGTTTAAAATGGAAATATCTAGTCCCATGACGTCTTATTCCTCTTCTCTGCTTTATTTTTGTCCAGAGCATTTATTACTATTTGACACAGTATATAGTTTCCATATTTATTATCTCTTTTTACTCCTTCCCATGAGGGCAGGGATTAGGGACCTTTTGTTCACTAATGTATCTTTTAACTACCAGAGCTGTAACTAGTGTTCAAACAATAGTTTTTGAATACAAAGATTTACATATAGGGCTGTTCAAGGCATCATTTATAAAAGCAAAACATCTGGAAATAAACAAAATTATCTAGTAATAAGAGAATAAATGATTATACATCCATGGGATGGAATAGTATGCATTTACTAAAAGTCATTAAAAAATATTTAATAAAAATGCTAATTTAAGTGGAAAATAAAATATTAAGAGACCCCAATTTTATTTAAAATGTGTTATCAGTGGCTATGTCTGGGTAGAGAGACTAAATGTGATTTTTGTTTTTCTCTGTTATTTTTGCATTTTTGAACTTTTTGACAAATCTTTCCAATAAAAAAATTTAAAGTTAGAAAATTGTAAAGCTTTGAAGAAAAAAAATGCTTCTTCATTCATTTTCTTTATTCTCTTCTCTAGTCTTGATTTATCACTTCAGTTAGAGATATGACTTGCACTTACCTTTTGGCACTGATCATATGCTGCCTAGTATCATGTATCTGTATTTTCTCTACTAGGCCCTACGCTTTCTTAAGTCAGACATCATCTTATTTATAATAGTCAGACCCTTCAACACTTGTCTTTATATTCAATAACTGTTTAAAGGAAAAAAATATTGGCAATGTTTTAATGCCAGAAATAATATATACTATTATTTGCTTAGGAAAAAGATTAAATTATGTAATTTTCTTAATAGTGATCTGATGTCCCTCATGATGCCTTGAAAATACTCACATTTGAAACTATTTTAGAATGATGGCTAGAGTTCAAGCATTTTTAGGAAAGGCTTACCTCTCTGTTGTCTTTATTTATATATTTTTTATTCATTTTTCATACAGTATGTGGAAACTTTTGATGCTAAGGTAAGTTTGGGCATGGTAGATTTCATGGACTGACACATTAATAAGGCTAGGCTGGTATAAAGAGATCATTGTACCAATGGATCCAAAACACATGGTTCAAATATGACAAGTTTATTTCTTGCTTTTAACAGTGGGTGTTCTTGGTTAGCAGACAGGTTCCCTCCACACATTTATAGTTCCAGGTCCTTCCATTTCATGTCTTCCCAGGTTATGCTAATTTTGTTTACTAATCTCTGCCTCTAGTAAGTTAGACTGTAAATTCATTGAGGATTTAGGATTGCCAAATTCAGCAAAGTAAAATCCAGGATGTCCAGCTAAATTTCAGGTAAACAACATACAATTTTAGTATTAGTATGTTTCATGTAATAGTTGGTAAATATACTAAAAAATTATGCATTATCTGAAATTCCAATTTGATTTTGAATCTTGTATTTTATCTGGCAATGCTCTGAGGGTAGGTATTAATGAGGTCTCTCTCATTTAACACTGAACCTCCAGAATCTAAAACAGCACTCGTTGACTTTAAGATAAATACATCTCGCAATAGTATTTAATGAATAGCTCGCACTCTGCCTATCAGGGAGAACTTGTATCGGCAAATAATACTTAATTATTAATTAAAATACTGCTATTAATAAGAATATATATTAAGTATCAGCAAAGAATACATATCAACACATAAAACTTATAATATGTATCAGCATTTCAAAACAAAAATGTTGTAATAAACATCAGTAAAGTAAATGCATAAAATCTGTCTCTTCCTAGATATCTTCATGGCAATCTCCTTTCAGATCTCTATTCAAATGTCATTTTTTTTCAGTGATGCCTTCCTTATTCTCCATATCTAAAACTGCAACTCTCCTCCCTCTGTAATATTTGTCACCCTCCTCCACTTTATTTTTTCTCATAAGCACTTAAATATACCAAATCATTTATCATATTGTCTACCTCTTCCGCTAGAAGGAAAACTTCATAAGGACAGGCATTCTCCTTCCTGTTTTATTCCCTGCTCAACTCCCAGCTCCTGCACATACTAGAGATTCAATAAATATTTGAACAAATGATTGAATAAACAACACTGGTTGTTATTACAATTTGTAGTTACCAGTAGAGTTTGATAATACTTACTTTACATGACACAAAATGGATTTCATCTAAAAAATACAAGTGTGATCCGGCCAGTATGGCTCGGTGGTTGAGCACTGACCCATGCACCAAGAGGTTGCCAGTTCAATTCCCAGCCAGGACACATGCCCAGGTTGTGGGCCCGATCCCCAGTGGGGGGCATGCAGAAGGCAGCCAATCGATGTTCTCTCTCAACGATGTTTCCATCTCTCTCTCTCCCCCTCTCCCTTCTTCTCGCTCTAAAATCAATAAAGAAAAAAATAAAAAAAACATCAGAACCCCCTCTTATTAAAAAAAAACTGTCCCTTGCACCAAAAGGTTACTGGTTCCATTCCCAGTCAGGACACATGTCTGGGTTGTGAGCTTGCTCCCCAGCAGGGGGTGTACATGAGGTAGTCGATGGTTTTTTCTCTCTCCCACTCCCTTCCTCTCTCTAAAAACCAATAAAAATATTTTTAAAAAATACGATTCTGCCTGCATCTACTCAGTTCATCAAGTTCTGTCATTTCTATCATCTCTGTGTTCTTTATAATCTTCTCTTGACTTTTCCCGTTGCCACTTCCATATTTGTCTGAACAGAGATTCAAAGTTGTTCCTTGGATTAGTGCAGAAATTGCCTAGTTGGTCTTCTTGTCCACTGTCTTCCCATTCTATACTTTTTTTTTTTTTATCTTCACCCGAGGACATTTTTTCATTTTTTCAGACAAAGTGGGAGGGAGAGAGAGGAAGAGAGAGAAACATGGACGTGAAAATGACACATCGAGTGGCTGCAACCCTCACGACCAACCAGGGTCGGGGACAAACTGCAACCGAGGTGTGCGCCCTTAGCAGGAACTGAACCCGGGTCTCTCTGGACCACAGGCCGACGCTCTAACCACTGAGCCAAACCGGCCAGGGCCTGTCTTCCCATTCTAACCTACCTTCTCAATTTAAAAAAAAATTATCTTTCTAAAATGAGAATCTGATATCACTTCCTTGACCCAAAACTTCGTTTTCCAACCTGGCTGGTGTGGCTCAGTTGGTTGGGTGTCCTCCCATGCACTGGGGAGTTGCTGGTTCAATTCTCAGTTGGGGCAAATGCCCAGGTTGTGGGCTTGATCCCTGGCAGGGGGATGTGCAGGAGGCAGCCAAATTATGCTGTGCTCATTGCTGTTTCTTGTTTTTGTTTTGTTAATCCTCTCCTGAGGGTATTTTTCCATTGATTTTTGATAGAGCAGAAGGGAGGGAGGGGGTAGAGAGAGAAAGAAATATCAATGTGAGAGAGAGACACATCGATTGGTTGCCTCTCACATGACCCCAACCAGGGCCAGAGATCAAACCTGCCAGCCAGATACGTGCCCTTGACCAGGAATCGAACCCACTACCCTTCAGTCCAAGAGTCGACACTCTAACCACTGAGCCAAACTGGCCAGAGCTCATTAATGTTTCTCCCTTCCTCTCTTTCTAAAAAAAAAAAAAAATCAATTAACTCTAAAAACTTTGTCTCCCTATCACCCAAAAGTAAAATTCAAAATTTCTTTCTTGGGCACATGAAACCCTTTATGATGTGGCCTACCTAGCCTTAATCCCTACCACTCTCCCATGTTTGTTCCAGCCCCATATGATTTCAGTCTGCTGAAATATCACTTAATTTGTAAGATTCGCTGGCCTATCCTCAGTGCTCACAGAGCCCTTTGACACTTATTTTAAGAGCTACCAGCACTAAATGGTATTTTACTGATCTTAAGATGTACATTTCTATTTTAACACCTCTGAATTTGGAATTTAACTTGAAATAATGGTATCTCATAATGCTGTCACCAGAAAGCAGTTGTGATGTAGCTCTCACAGCTTATACATGTGCAAATGTTGTGGTCATTCCTGGTGGCACAACTAGACAATTGCAAACCCTAGATACTTCAGTCAACCATTGAAAGAAAGGGTATAAATCCTGGTTGTAGTCTGAAAATCTCTCATTGATACCATCTAGTTGGATCAAGAAGGTACCAGCAACAAAACTCATAGAATGGAAGCCAATGATTTGGGAGAAAATACCAAAGACAATAGCGAAGTATTCTTTTAAAACATGTTGCATTACTAATGCTCCTGGTTGGAACTTAATATTGTGTGGATAAATTGTAATTGATAAGAAATCATTGTATCATAGTTTAATTAGTATTTTTTCTTTCAGTGGTACAAAAATAATCATATTTCTTAGAACCTGTGGTGTCTCAGCATTGATGAAATATGGTGTATTACCTTGCATTTTCAAAACAATTCCTTAAGATAGGTCTTATTGAATAGTGCCTGAGGTCTGCTGATTTATCATAATGGAGTATTCTCATTATGTTTATCTGTCTTCTGTCTTTCTATAGATTATAAACTCTCTATGACCTACCATAGTGCCTATCATATAGTAGGTATACAATTAATATTAATTTAAAAAGTACTGTAATTTTCATGCTCTTTTGCTACAGAAGCTGTTCCACTGTGATTCTGTCAATTTGGATATGTCCATTTTCAAGACTAATCTTGAATAATCTCAGACTTCAATTATTATTTTGAAATACTACTCTTTGGAAAGGTCTAATTTCTTTTTAATACTAGTCCCTAGTAGCATTTTTTTCCCCTGAGGATTGATATTATATAATATTATGATGACCAAAATATATTTTCTTATACACGTATTACCTGGATACCTTCTGCTGCATAGTTTCATATCTAATTTTTTATGCCTATTACTTCTTCTTCTCCTTTGTTTTCAATATTATTGACTACTGTGATTTCAAGGAGTAAAGCAGAGAGTTAAGGAAATGTTAAGACAGGCACAAGAAAATTTGTTAGGTTACATATGAGGAACACTAGTTTTATCTGATTATTTTGTTCAGATGGCACATTTAGATACCATAAGCCAAGTCATTGCACATAATTATTTAAAAACCATGTTACCCTGCTTAATTGGTTTAAAATAATTTAAAAGGGCTCTGATTAGCTCCTACAAATTAATCTAATTCGTCAGATTTTAATTTCGTTAGAATAGCTTTTCAACAAGTTAGTCAACATTCTTTCGGATGTCATATAATTTATTCATTCCCTTTAGAATTGGAGCCATAGCATTTGGATAGCATTACTTTAAAAACAGCAGCAAAGAACAAGTTTTCCCTCACTTACCTCTTTAACTAATGTCCTCCCAGAAAAATCTCCCTAATCCCCTAGACTGCCACAGCACACACCACTCCAACTAGTTCTCCCCCTAGCACTGTAAGAACTTACTGTTCTTCAGTTGAATCTAATGAAATACCTGGCTTGCATTCAGAGGTCATGTTTTACAAAAATAAGCCACCACATAACCAGAATCTTTCTAAAATCAGATATTGAGTGAAGAAGAAATTCATGTTTCCCATCCCATGCTTTACTTTAAGGCCTAAGCTCACCAAGCGGAACAGTAGGAATCTCCAGCACTATTTAGTTTTCTCTTTTTATTTTTTGTCAAGCATAGTTTAATTCAAATAATTTACATAAACATGTAATGCAAATCCACTGTTAGCTAGCTATATTGGTGTCACATTTATAGTTTTTTTTCTTTAGTTTGCAGAAATGTTGTAACTGTAAGGGTAATACTAGATGCTAGATACATAATTTTTACGCTTGAAGTATACAGTTCTTAATCACCTGAAGAGCTTTTAAAAAAATGAGGTGACCAAGGTCCATACCAATTCTACTGAACCATTTTCTTCTAGGTAATGCTGATGGGCACCTCCAGGCCCAGAACCACTGCTTTAAGCCACCATCAACCAGTTGCTTAGCTGTCTACCAGAATCACTAAGAATAAACTTGGCCTATTTCACAATTTTATCTCAGGACAAGTCAATGCTTCTGGTTTCTGATTGTTTCTAGATTTGCTGCCTATGTATGTCCTGATATTTTTCCTATTCTATCTCAAGGCCTTGCCCTCCAGCACTTCTGGACTTCTGAACTGGAAACTTGGCCTTTAATCTCAGGTGCCATCAAAATCACAGGTTCTGGTTATATATTCCAGGTTGGCTCATTGGACTTGGCTCTTCTTTACCTAATCCTGGCTCTACCATACACTTCAATTTATTACTCTAGTATGCCAATCTGTTAACTCCAACAAGTCAGAGAAGAGCCATGATGGCTCCAAAATAATTTAAAAAAACTGTAATAGGTAAGGTAGCTTGTAATGCACCTTCATCTACTTCAGTAGTCTAGTTTCTTTTCAAACACTGCTTTGTACACAGCACCCCAACTGAAAGCTCTCATTTATATGGAAAAAATCCTTAGTCTGGAATAATGGCCCTCTATTCTCTAGATATGACCTACCTTTCTGGATCTTATGCTCCTCATTGTGTAGCTGGTGCTCCAACCTTGCTGAACTTCACTGTTCTCCAGAAAGCCATTGGCAATGGTGTGCTAACTTCCTTTTTTCAATTCATTTGCAGTGTCTAAAAGGATTTTTTCACCAGCAGCTTCCTCTTCCTTTACCCACGTATCCAAATTCTACCAATCCTTCAAAGTAGTACTTCTCAAACCTTAGTAATGTAAAATAAATCACTATGATTCTACAGAATACATTTTCGGACAGGCAGGTGTCCATAGACCTATTTGAAAAGAACTGATAGGGAGAACTGAAGAGTAATCCTATGAAAACCTTTCAGCTGCAAATTATCACTTTGAAAGAGTAATTTTGTCTTAAGAACTGGTGAAACAATTTCTATATTGTTAAAACAAAAACAAAAATTTTAAAGCATGCAAGAACTCTGGTTCTTCGCTCCAGGTCCAAGAGCCTAGTTTTAGAAACACTGCTTTAAGGCACAGCTTAAATATATTGACCCTAGAAAATGTTTTCATCACTGCAGGGTAATACGTTTTTCTCTTTTCTGACTTTAGCATCTAATCACTTTCTGCCTTGTAGTAGCTAATAATATGTATATAAAATTGTTCTAGAAAAGTCGTAAGCTTTTTGAAAGCTGGGACCATATGTTAATCATTTTTTAAATCCACTGGTGCTTAGCAAATACTGGATGTACGACCTGTATCTCATCTTATTTTGTAGTTCTAATTTCTCAAAAAGATCTCACTCTTCTCTGCTGCATACAACATATTAATGAAACAGCCCTATTACAGCCAAAAGTTTTGATTGTCTTAAATATTAGAAAAAGTGCGTTATGATACTCATGATTTAAACGAAGTGTCACAAAGCATGTCTCTTTTGTGTTAATGTCATAGGAACAATTCTTTAAAATTGTCAGGTGAATAATGAAGAATTTTAAGGTAAACAGTTAAAAAAAATACAAGGCTAGTAGGAGAGGCCCTACATAGTATTTTAAGAGTTATGTCCCTAATTCAACTTGTATTTCCGGCATTCTTCCGTTTTTTAACTAGTGTTATTTGAGAAAACTATTTTCCTTGGATATTTAGGAGAGGATGCATTACTTCAGGCAGGATGACACGGGTTTGTTTTAACCTAGAACTTCTTCGCTCATACAATATCTAGACAAGTCTGAGAGACAATATATAGTGAAAAGAAAGAGGCAAGGTTATGGGGAACCCATTCTCTGGGTCACTTGAGCAAGCTGAAGTCAGTTTTGTCATTTAAAAAGAAGAGTAATGGACCAGGGTTTGCCAAGGGCTCTTTTAGCTCTGAAACTGATAGGCTATGACCATAAGTAAACATGGTTGGAGGTGGGTATTTCTTTGGGTAGTACCGGTTATTTCTTCCTGAAACTAACAAGGACAACAAACCGGTTGTCTAGCCTTCCGCCATGACCTTTCAGGGCAGAGTTGGAAAAAGTGGTTTGTTCCCATTTTGGTGGGTCCTCCAACGAGAAGGTTCCTGGCCTGCTCTGGGTGAGCCCTCACCCCTTGTTGCCTTCCAAGGCCGAGGGAGGCTGCTGCCGGAGAGCTCGGGTCCTCGCCCTTACGCTCCAGCGGGAGCGGTGGGACTCTCGAAGATTAGTCCCTGGTCATAAACAACCTCTCACTTCCTTCCCCCCGCCCTGGGTCCGCCTACACTGGGGCCGGCCCTCTGAGGCTCAAGGTAACTCCTCCGCCGACCACGGGCGTGCCTCCTTCCCTTAACCGGGTGTTTGATGCTTATTTCCTCACTCGCCCCCCGGGGCAAGGGGTTTGCTACAGCGACCTCGAAAGGGGAATCGAGGCCAGCGTCCATTTCCCTTCCCCCGACCCCAATCACCTCCAACAGCCAAGGAGAGTCCCGCGGCACTGACGCGCAGACTCACAGCCGCAGCCGCCCTGCGCGCGCCTACGCGGCTCCAGCATCCGCCCCCCCCCCCCCCGCGATCCTTCCGCGGTCTGTCCCCGCCCTTTCCCGGAGCCCGCCTTCGCGTCTGCCGACCCGCCGGCTCACCCCTCGCGCTCGCTCGCGCGCGCACCCGACGCCCCGCCTTCACGCGTGCTCAATAGCAGTTCCCGGAGCCGGCCGACAAGCTTCTCCCGCCCCTGAGCTGTTTGAATATGCTAATGAAAGGCTACGGACTAGCCAATAGAATAGCGGAGCGGTGCATCACGTGGCACGAGGACGTGTCAGGGGGCGGTGCCTCTGCAGCCCCTGCCCGAGTTAAAACCAGAGTGTGAGAGAGAAAAGCGCTTCAGTAGCGAGAGGGGCTGAGAAAGTGGTGACACCGCCGGGGTGCGGAGGGAGTCCCTGAAACTTCTCCCAACAGCCCCAGGGCCAATCTCCCTTCAGCCCACTCCCCTCTTCGCCAGCTCCCAGGTCCCCACTCCCTGCTTCGGGGGTGGGGTGGGGAGCCAGGCCCGTCTCCCGCTGGGACACACACAGGGGCCGGGAACGGGGACGGGACCCCCGAGGCGGGGGGGACGGACTGACCGACAGACAGACGACCGGGCGCCCGCCCCAGCGGGCAGGCAGGCAGGAGGAGGCGGAGACGGGGGTAGGACGGGGAGGACTGGGTCTGGGAGTTTCCTCTCAACTATCGGGGGAGAAACTCCCCGCAGCCGGAGGAAAGACCCAGACGGTGTTTTCCTCCAGGGGGCCGCGCTCCCCCGCCCCGCATAGCGGCGGTCGCCGCCGCGGCCACCGGCGCCTCCACCTCTATCATCTTCTCTTTCTCTGCCACCTCGGGCCCCGGTGTCCCTGGCCAGCACTATGCCCATCTTACTGTTCCTGATAGACACGTCTGCCTCTATGAACCAGCGCAGCCATCTGGGCACCACCTACCTGGACACGGCCAAAGGCGCGGTAGAGACCTTCATGAAGGTACCGACTGACCGAGCCTGGGCGTCGACCCCGGCCCGGCGGCCCGCGGGCGGCAGGGGTGGCGGGGAGCACGGCCGGGGGCGGCAAGGCGGACGTGTCGGGGACCTGACTGCGGGAGCTGCCGGGCTCGGGGACCCCCTCCCCCACCGCGCGGGCGGGCGTGCGCTGCCAGCCGGTCTCGGCCCGGGCCCGGGCCCCGACCGCAGGCGGTGTGTAGGAGCCGATCTGTGTGTGGGGGGCGGCGTGGAGGGGCGGCCGCGGCATGTGCGGTACTGGGGGGGGGGGGCGGCGGCAGGGCCGCTGGGCGCCCCTTCTCTGCCTCGTAACCTCGCGTCTGTGCTTCCCTCTCGCTCGCCCTGTTCTTCCTCCCGTCCCCCACCCGCTCTCCCGCAGCTCCGAGCCCGGGATCCTGCCAGCAGAGGAGACAGGTATATGCTGGTCACTTTCGAAGAGCCGCCCTATGCTATCAAGGTAACAGCCCTCACCCTCCCTCTTCCCTTCCCTGTTCCTTCCTCGCTCGCCCTGCCCCCCTTCACCCTTCATTATGCTCCCCTCCCCCACTCGCTGTGCTCTAGGCGCTGAGGTCTTTTTCCCTAAGGGCTCCCACCCCCTCCCCCGCTCCGGAGCGCCCTGGAGCGGCGTGGAGTCTCGGGGCCACCACCATCCCCTCCCCAGCCCGGCCCGGCGGCGGCGGCGCTGCGATCAACATGGCCGACATTTCCCCTCCGCGGCGTGAGCGGCAGCAATGAACTGTGGGGGATATTTATTCAAGTTAGCCCGAGTGACAGCCGGGCCCGGCCGCCCCGAGCCTGGGTTTGCATTAAAGGGGAATCGGCCCGAGGCTTGGCCGCTCTCGCCAGGCTGGCAAGGGAGCCGGGTTGGGGGGTGGGGTGGGGTGGGGTGGGGGGCTGTTGGGGCTTGGTCTTAAGATTCTTCCTGAGAGGCCGCGGGTCAGTGGGGCAGCTGTAGGTTAACTTCAGAAGTCCTGCCCACGTCTGCTTTCCGCTAGCACTTTGCATCCCCCAATTTTGGATATTAGGATAGGGAGTAAATTGCCCAGGGAAGTTATAAAGTAGTTAGGGTGTCCAAAGCTGTAGAGCAGACAGGTTTATTCTTGGCCACCTTTGGAAGAGAGTTTTCTTCAGCGGTGGTAAGGTGTTAACACGTTAATCAAACCATAGTGTTAAGTGAAGCACCTACTTGATTAACCACAGATTGTAATGGTTGTTCGTGTATACATGGCTTTAAAAGATGAAAACAAATTCTTACATATTTCTTTTTAGGCCGGATGGAAAGAAAACCATGCAACCTTTATGAATGAACTGAAAAACCTTCAGGCTGAAGGACTTACAACTCTTGGCCAATCCCTAAGGACAGCTTTTGATTTATTAAATTTAAATAGATTAGTAACTGGCATAGACAACTATGGGCAGGTAGGTTGACTATTAAGGTGGAAAACAGTTTATTTTTCTTTTTGTGGAAAAACATAGTCCAGTCCAAAACTATATAACATGAAACACAAGTATAAAACATTTCAGATTAAAATACAACTTGCCCATAATACAGAAGTGAAACTCTGATCATGCTGTATGCTTTATTGCCCCCTTTTTTTGTCTTAAAATGTATTCGTTACCTAGCACTCATGGCATAAATGAGTAAATATCCTGCCTCACCACACTCAGTTTCTCTGATTCTATACCTACAGGCAATTAGTCTGCAATAACTTACAGACACCAGTTGATTAGTAGTCTTCGTGTCTATATTAGTAAAAATGTTAGGGGAAATTATTGTTTGTTGTATCAGGGTTTAACTTAACCATGTTGTATAACAACTACTAAAGGCAAGATCTTCATTGGAGTGCAGTAACTGACTGAATATATTCTGACTTCTCAGCTTTAACTGACTGAATATATTCTGATTTCTCAGCTTTTGAAGCTAATACAATAAGCAACTAACTATGCAAGAAGAACTCTGAATTTATTTTTGAATTAAATGGCAGGTCCAGAGGTGGTGGTGGTGTCTTTTTTTTTAATTCTAAAATCTGGAGAAGAGGCTGTTTGAAAATATGAAAGAACCTTTCTTTACTCCCTTACCCCTTTCTCTACCCCTCGCCCTCTACTGCACTCGTTTTTATTTATTTAAAGATGAGACAAGAGCTTTAAATCATGATGGTTCACTATGGAATAATGTAAGGTGGTCTGCTGTAGCTTTTGGAGATTGCAGGCCTGGAAAATAAAAGTTATGTGTTGTGTTACACATGATGAGTATTAAATCCAAGGAGTTTAATTTTTATGCTGTAGTGCAAAGCACTATTACAACCACAATGATACTTTTAAGTATACATTTTGTTCTTGTTCTCCAGTTTTGTGAGCCACAGTTATCATGAGTTTCACGAATTTCAGGGGCAAATAATCTTACTACAACTTGTGGTGGTTTTATATAGAAAGAAATAGAATTATTCCCTTGGTTTAGAAATGTTTGCACTGTACTTCTTAGGGGTAACTTAGCCATATAGCATTTAAAGTATGCCTTGCAATTCAGAGTCACTTTGTTTCTATTTTTATCTAATTGCACTCCCATTGTTTAATTAAGTAAATGTGTATTTTCTTACCACATTAATCTTTGTTTCCCTCTCTCTGTGTTGCTTTATTTTGCAACTCAGTATTTTAGGCAGATTTGCCATGAATTTTTCACTTTGTTTCTATAAATGTAGTTCTTTCCCTTTCAGATTTCTTTGTTATATGTAGTGCTATACAATCTTCCATTGGTTAAGGATTTGATAGCAATTTCTTTCAGTTCAAATACAAATTTGAAACTTGCCATTATTTGGTTATCCTTTTTTTTTTGGTTGTCAGATTGTCAGCATATAGCAGAACTATTGATTTCCTGTTTTTCTGCATCACATTTCAAAAGTTTGAAAGGCATTTAGACACATATACTTCCTACAAGCTAATTAAAAATGTTTCTTAGGGTGCTTCCTTAGAAAAACTGATTATCATGGAGAGGCTGAGGACATTTGTAATTTAAACTTGTGTTTTCCTTTTCCTAGTTGCCATCTTCCAGTGGAGATCACTTAAGTTCTTATCTATAAAGCTTACAGAAAGTTTGAGGTTGAAGGTGGTCCTGCTGTGCTGTTAACACTTTGACCAAGAGAAGAACCTGGAGATTAGGATGTTTTTGCATATAAAGATTTATTAATTTAACAAGGGGGAGAGATAATAATCTCTTTCTCAGTTAATTTTGATGAATAAGGAAAGAGGCAAGGAGTAACATTAATACTTAAGTCGAATTGGAACATAAAAATGACACTAATATTAAACTAATTTAGGAAGCCACAATTTTCAAATGAAAATGATTGAGTGAAGTGTTTAGTGAAAAGAAAACATTTTTCCAGAAGATAATTTTCATCATAAGACTTTCTCTTGCTAATTTAGATAGTACACATTTATAATTCAATGAAAGGATAAACTGAAGAATTTTGGATATCTCAAGTAATTAATACTAAATATAGTTCATGCATTCTTTGTAAAAGTACTTTGTATCTGTCTATTTTCTGTGGAATACCTTTATTCTGTAATCTCTGTTTTTACATCAATACTTCCTTTCAACATACTTTATATTAGGATTGGTTGAGCCCACAGTGCTAAATACTTGTATCTAGTCACAATAATTGAAGGAAATGAGAAAAAGCTGACCTAGATGAAAGCATATTGATTTTATAGAGTATCTGAAAAACTATTAGGTTTATAAATTTTTTAAAATATCTAAATGTGGGCGTGTGTGTGTGTGTATGGCATAGATACTGCCACACCTGCTCCCCCCACATACATGCACATATATGATTTTTCCATAACCAAAGTAATTTTAATGTCTGTTCCATCTGTTAATTTAGTTAGCATACCTCCAAATAAAACATCTTTGAGATATTAGCTAGGATACTAACAGAATTGGCAGGGCCTCAGTAAGGTTAGAGTAGCTGAGACCAAGAATGATTCT